TTTAGTTTTTCTAAATGTTAAAAATAAATTCAAAATTTCTTTTAAATATAACATATTATTTAAATTATCTTTTTGATCAATCATAAATCTTAATTTAACCTGATAACCTAAAACCATAGTTTCTCTTTTTAAAAGAGAAATGTTAAAACAACCTTCAGCATCAATTAAACCAGAAATTCAACCATCAACTAAAGAAGGCTTAATATTATTATTTATTTTTGGTATATTATGAATATTTAACCATTTATCTAATTGTAATTTTCTTTTATCAAAAAAAATATTACCATTAAATATATGTATTAAAAAGATAATAGATTTATTATCTCTTACTGTATAACGAGAAAATTTACCAAAATTTTTAACCATACCTATACCTAAAATATCTTTAATATGATTTAATATAACTTCTTCTTTTTGAGTTATAACAAAAGTACAAGAATTTTTATAGGTTAAAAAAGCTCCATCTCCTTCTGTGAATCCTATAAATCAAGTTAATCAATTATCAGAAATATTTTCTGTATTTTCTGTATTTTTTCTAAAATTAGAAAAATTAAAAGACATTTCGCGTGTAGTCTCTGAGGAACTTTTTTCAATTAAATTATAATTTCCTGCTGATTGAGCATAGCTTATAAGATTTTTACTATTAAAAGTACTCATAAACACTAAGCTGTTTCAGCATATAGCAAAATTTATTACCCTAAATTCACAAATAGGGAAAGCCATCGCATGACTTCAAACAACAAATCCTAAAACTCCTATAGACATCATAGCATAAACCATACCAAGATATCCAAAAACACTTTTATTAGATGCCGCTGACACAACAGTACTTATTATACCAAATCCAGGTATAATTAAAATATAAACCTCGGGATGTCCAAAGAATCAGAAAAGATGTTGGAATAAAATAGGATCACCACCACCAGCAGCTTCAAAGAAAGAAGTATTAAAATTTCTATCTGTAAGTACCATAGTTATTCCACCAGCTAAAACGGGCAGTGATAATAGTAATAACACAGCTGTTATTATTACAGCTCAACCAAACAAGGCTAATTTATGTAAACGAATTCCCGGACTTCTCATATTTAATATAGTTGTTATAAAATTCATAGCACCTAGCATACTACTTATACCACTTAAATGTAAACCAAAAATAGCTAAATCTACACTAGGACCACTATGACTTTGTATACCTGATAAAGGTGGGTAACTTTGTGTTGGTAACCTCAATTTAATTTTTTAAATTTATCGTTACACTCAGTAAATCTCTTTAACTGTTCGGACTATACCTTAATCTTTATTTATAATTAATCATCATTTTTCAAATTTTTACGTAATTTTCTAACTAAGTCTCTTATTTCATATAGTTTAGAATAATCATTTTTATGTTTAACATAAGATCTAGCTCAAATTCTATATTCCAAGGATTTTACTCCTTTCATAGTATTTCTAAAATATTCTATTACATTTTCAATAGCTCTACTATTAGTAGTATCTAAAATATAATGACCATACAATTCTTTATATTTTACTTTTGTACTAATATGTAGTAAAATACCTATTGATTCTAATACTATTTTATCTAGTTTTTGTGTAAGTCCAAAACCATGCACTATTCTATTTAAATCTTTTTTAGTTAAATAAAAACTACCTTCTGCTTCTATGAAACCAATTAATCAACTTTTAGTCATTACATTATTGATTGAATCAATGTTAGTTAACGGCAATGAAGCATTATTTCAAGCTGGAGATATATAATTAATAGAAGGTTTTAAATCTTTTAATTTTTGAATTTCTATATCCTTTTTTTCCTTATCCATTTCCATATTATTTAATATATATAATGCTTTTTTTAACTTTACATAATCAAAATATTTAGTAGTTAAAAGAAGATTTCTTTCAAAAATAGGTATTAAGACAGATTCTATAACTTTTCTATCTCTTATAAAAAATTGTAACTTATTACCATCTTTTGTTATAGAACCTACTCCTAATTCTTTTTTTATATAATTTAACACTCTAGCATTATATGCTGATTGTGTCAATTTAAAACTTAAGTTTCATTTTTTTTTATCTCCAACCTTCTGACTTCCAATATGAAAATTACCATCTCCATCTGTAAAACCAACTAATCATTGCTCAAATTCAAATGACTTATTTTTCTTATAAAGATTTTCTCCGTTAAGTCTCTGATGGCTAGAAAACAAACGTTTTAACCAGGCGTATTGTCTCCATGCCATACACATTTTTACATACATCGCATTATATAAAAAAAAATAATATATTTGAAATGAGTAGTATATTACGTATAATATTATATAAAATAACATCATTTGAAGAGTTCCACGCATCGAGGAGAATTTTTTTTCTTTTATATTACTACAAAACAACTCCTTACTTCCTTTAAGAGTTCATCCTGTACCCGCTCCATTTTCAATTATTGCAGAAAATACAAATAAAAATAAACTAGGAACTAATAATCAGAAACTTATATTATTTAATCTAGGGAATCTATATTTTTTACTCATTTTATAAAATAAAAAACTTAAGTAATTTCTTACTCAAACGGACTATGTCTTCATCCATCAAATAGGAGCTTCGCGTCTAGTCTCTGAGGATCCTACTAAGATAATATCAATCATCCTTTGGTTTCCTGCACATTCTTCCCATGTATACATAAGTGTTACGACTAATTCAGTTGAAAAATACAACTTTAAAAGTTTAAAACTCCAATTAGGTGTCTATGTATCTGTTAACTGGAAAACTAATTCCAAAATTCGAGAAATTCTATCCATATAGCGAAGTAATAATAAAAAAGCTTACACTTTTTAACGGCATTCCCTATTTAGGGTAATAATAATTAGATATTATAGTAATATATATATATATATTTATTTTATTTTTATAGTGATAATAAATTTAGATGATTTCAATCAAAATAAGTTCTTTTTTTATTCATACCATTTCTTACACACTCTGTTTCATTTATACCTTGTTCTGTATAATGCTTACCCTCAAGTATTAAAAGTACTATTTTCTTTCAATCTTTATAATCCAAATATTTACTTGAAAATAAGGGATATTTTTCTAGATAATTAACTATTAAATCTAAAGACAATTTATTTGAAGCTGTTAAATTATAATATTCATTTCCTGTAGATTTCTGTTTTCTTACCAATAAACTACAATTAAGAAAATTAGATATATCAGTCAAAACCCTAAAATAACTTTCATTTGATATAGGATCAAACATCCTTTGTTCAATTCTTAATCTACAAGATATTTTTCTCTTTTTTGCACCATTTTCTAATTTAGTATATTGTACTGAAAAACTACCATCTGAATCTATAAATCCACTAAGTCAACTATCTTCAGATAAAGAACTATCTTTTAAAGGTAATTTAATTATATTTGTATTATGATTTTTATTTAATCAATCTATTAAATTATAAAGTTGATGTATTTTTGGTGTTCTCAATTCACCATTTAATAAACCTACTATTTTTTTTAAACCTATTACAGATGAAACAACTAACACACAAGCATTATTTTGTAATTTATATCTAATAAACCCTGATCCTATTAACTCCAGTAATTTTTTAGCTAATGGTTCATTTTTTATACTAAAAGTTATACAAAATCTTGGGTTATGTCTCTTTTTATCACTAGGTTTTTGTATTCAAATATGACCATCTCCTTCAAATAAACCAGCTAAATACCCTTTTATATCATTATATTTTAAATTATTACTATAATATCTTATATTAGACCCATGGAGATCCTTTTGTTTTGCCATATCAGGACCTCCTACTAATAAAGGTAATAAAAAATTACCAAAACCTCCTATTAAAGCAGGCATAACCATAAAGAAAATCATTAAAATAGCATGAGCTGTAATTATACTATTATATAATTGATTATCGGCTATATATTGAACACCAGGCGCTGATAATTCTAATCTTATTAATACAGAAAAAGCTGTTCCAACTAAACCTGAAAATAATGCAAAAATTAAATACAAAGTACCTATATCTTTTGCATTAGATGACAAAAATCATCTTTCTTGTCATTCAGTAGGATTTTTCAAATTTATATTTGAAAAATAACTTTCATTTGTTCTCATTTCTATTTTTTCAGAATTATAAGTAGAAAACTGCCTATAACTTTCAATATCTGACAAAAGGAGCAATTCCTATAAAACTACAGACATACATTATAATGTATGTATATATAATGTATTGTAATGATTTATAATATGAGTAAAAAAAAAAATTTTTTTATAAACATATATTTTTTTTTTTACCGAAAAAATTTAATATTTTATATGCTAATCTACAAAATATATAGCGGGAGGATACCTTGAATCGAACAAGGATATACTATGCCACATACAGCTGTTCTACCATTAAACTATACCCACCTATAAGCCAAAAGAGAAATTCGAATTCTCATTCTTAATTCATGAAATTATTGTTCTACCATTAAACTATCTTGGCTATAAATATTTATATACTTATACAAATATACATATATTTATCTCGGAGCGATTCGAACACTCATAACTAAATACCAAAAATTTATGACTTACCTATTAGTCAACGAGATATTATACAGATAATAAGACTTGAACTTATACGATTTTATTCATCCCGTCCTAAGCAGGACCTGTCTACCAATTCCAGCATATCCGTTTATACAAGTTTAAATAATAATATAAACTTATATTGAAGAATAATAATTTATTCAGCATCATCTAAAAAACTAGGATCTTTAGTAATAAAAAAATTATTATTTTTATTATTTTGCATTAAATTAAATTTATTTAGCTTGTTATATAACAATCATATTAATTAATATAAATGAGTATAAGATCCTCCCCTCTATAATTAACTAACACAATCTTATATGATAAAGTTAGAACTTTAAGTTCTAACTTTATCATATTAACTTTTATCAAAGATACCCCGTACTAGGAGTGGGAGGGGGGTAACCTTATACACTGCCCGAGACAAGATTCGAACTTGTAACCTAAAAATCTTCAATTTTCCGCTCAACCAATTGAGCTTCTCGGACTACTTCAGGTTATTATGATTCGAACATAACAATCCCTCAACCCAAATGAGGTGCCTAACCAACCTGGCTCTAACCTGTAAAAATTAAATAACTAAAAAATTTTTTAGTTATTTAATTTAATATCTAATAAGTATTTGGAGTCATCAGGACTCGATCCTGAAATGACGATATGCAAAATCGCAGTTTTACCAATTAAACTATGACCCCTACTTATATCCAAGGAACGAATCGAACGTTCACGGCTAACGCCAGCAAATCTTAAGTTTGCACTGTATACCAATTTCAGCACTTGGATTATAAGACTAAAATGACTCGAACATTCATTCAAACTATTATGAGCAGTTTGCTTTACCTATTAAGCTATAGTCTTTGCGCGAACTTAGGATTCGAACCTAAATCTTTTGGTCATGAGCCAAATATGGTACCATTACACTAATCCGCATTAAGAAATAGGTGACTTGAACACCTAACATACCACGTGTAAAGTGGTCGCTCTACCAATTGAGCTAATTTCTTTCAACCCAAGGGAGATTCGAACTCCCGCACTAACAGTGAAAATGTTATGTCTTAACCAACTTGACCATTGGGTCTATAAAGCCCAGTGCAAGTATCGCGCTTACTTCTACCGATTACAAAACGGTTGCATTTCTTTTATGCTAACCAGGCGAAATTTTTTTATTACTATGCATAATGCTTAGTATTATGTTAAATTAGTACTTTATATCTTAAAACATCAAAGTTAATACAACTAAAGCCTATGAATTAATAATTATAAATATATAATTATTAAATACTCGTAGTGTTCTACTACGTTTTTAAGTATTATAAAGTAAGCTTCGCGCTTAAATGCTTTCAGCACTTATCTCTAATTGATGTAGCATTCCTGCCATGCCTATAAGCAACTTACTTAAGTAAAAGTAAGTTATTAAAATATAATTTATAAATAATATAGACAACAGGTAAACCATAGATCAACATACCCAACTCCTTTCGTACGAAGGGGCTATATTTATTTTACTTTAATTCCTTCTAGAAGATAGAAACCATACTGTCTCACGACGTATTAAACCCAGCTCATGTAACTCTTTAATCGACGAACAGTCGAACCCTTCATGATTTTTGCATTCATGTGGATGAGTTAAGCCGACATCGAGGTGCCAAACCGCGCACTCAATTTGTACTCTCTTGCGCAAATTAGCCTGTTCAATTTATGTTATCATAAAAAATTATTTTTTATTTCCGCTTCTTTAAAAACGGTTCAGACTATTTCTTCATCTTTATTTTTGGGAGAGATATTAAAAAAAAACTAAATAATTAAAATTATGATAATATAAATTATTATAATACAACTTATTCACCACTTACTCAACCTTTAATACCAAAAGATCCTATTCTAGCTTTAGAATTCAATTTTGTGTATTCTAAATTAGGTCTAAATTTACCTCTTAATACTACAGAAGGATAACCTTTAACTGATGATAGTGTATTTTCTAAATTACCTTTATACATAACTTTATGAAGAGATCTTGAAGCAGTATAACGTTTAGTTAATCTACCTGCCGCTTCTAATCTAACTCCTGATACTCTTTTATATTTAATATAACTTAATATTATTTTTTTTAAATAAGAAGATTTGTTTAAACTATAACTAGAATTTTTTTTATTTTGATCCAATAATCTATATAATAAATTATTTAAGATATCTTCATTATCTATTTTATAAAAATGTTTTTTATCAAAAAAATAATTATTTGATTTTAAACTAATTTTTACTCTATCAATATTTACTTTTCTTACATAAGATTTTAAATAATATAATACTTTTCTTTTTCTTCTTAATTTTAACACTAAGGGTTGTGAAAATATATCACTATTAAAATAAAAATATTTTAAATTTATTAAATTAAATTCTATATTTTTATTATATATTTTTTTCAATAAATATATTAAACCTTGTAAGTAAGATAAAGTAAATTTATTTTGATTAATATAAATTAATTGTTTATAGAACATATAATATTTCAATCTTTTCAAAGATTTTTTTATAAATTTTTTATAATATAAATGTTGAACTAAAGATACTCTAGATTTATATCTAGGTAATATTTTTTCTATAATATTTTTTTTTATCTTTTGTTTTTCTAATATATTAGATCCTATAGATCTTATTAAATTTAATTTGTTTAAAAATCTTATCTTACTGAATAATCTTATATATCTTTTTTTTAATTTATACAGATAATTATATTTTTGTCTATTATATATATATAAAGTAATAGACACTTTATCATTAGTATGTTTAAATTCTCCATTACTTAAAAAAATTTTATTTGTAGACAATTTTCTAGATTTATTACGAAATCTTTCTTTTCTTAATTTTTTTTCTAATTTTAAATTAAACGAATCAAAGTAACCTTTAATTAATTTAATTACATAATTACTAGCTACAGGTATTAATTTTATAGTATTTTTGTTATAAACATATATACTATCTTTTCAATCTCTTACTACAGGTACAAAATTTTTATAACCTATAGTAATATTTTTATTATTCTTCTTATTTTTTTGTTTATTTATAACATTTAACTTAGATTTTATAATATTTAGCATATATTTATAATATTTTTATTTATGTTATTTTTAATAACAAGCTTGAAAAAAAATCAAGTCTAATTCATTATTATATTTCTATAATAATATTTATACATATTATATAAAGATGTTGGGGATATTTAATAAGGATTATTGTTAGCAATACTCACCTATTAGTCGTTGAACGTCCTTATTTTATATATTAGCTAAAATAAGTTTCGCTTCAAATTCATTTAAAAAAATTGTTTTTGAAATTTACCCAAATAATTTTTCAATATTTTATAATATTGGAGGACTTAAACTAAATCCCTAGCGTAACTTTTTCTTTAATCCAAGACCTTTCCTTAATGCATCTTGTGATCATATGCCCCGCTTACGCGACTGAAAGACTTGTAAGTCAAACAGTAAAGCAAGATTTAGCCATTAAACTTTGACAGTATA